AATCAACTTCATAACCACCTTCCTATATTTTCCTGGCATTCTTTAATTCTTAAACCGTTGGATTTTATATGAGTATTTCAGGGCTGTTCTAGCTGACAGCCTAAAACAGTTTTTTACATACAACACAAACAAATTTGGTCAACCGGATGACTGACCAGTGGCAATGTCTCATCCCGTGTCTCACAGGCCTTATTTAAGGAAAGGAAGTCCACTGACTGGCTTTAAAAGTCGTTTAATCGTTAGTTAAGTAGTAGTTTCTTGGAAACGGAGCGAAAAGGCTCAGAGAATCTGCACCGAGTACTTATCCTTTATCACGGCTGACGTTATCGCTGGACTGGTTTATTAATGCCTCGTTGACGCGTCTGTACAGCCGGTGTCTATTTCTAATGATGCCCGTGCACTCTAACCATCAGGGAGTACCATCTGCGCAGTCCTGAAGAATTTTCTCATGCTAGGGAAAGGCTATGTTTTCTTCCCGAATGTTTCCTAATCACCTGCTGTTCAAGCTCGTCCGTAATCATCCACTTCCTCCGAGTTGACAAATGGGACACTGTCCTTTTAGTGAAGATATTCCCTGTTTCTGTTGTGTAATATTTCACGCGGTTACATTGTAATTTGGAAACCCAGTCTCGCGAATTATTATTTGCAGTTTGTTAATAAAGTATTAATTTCTTAAAACTTTTATACACGATGTTAATATATTCAGTACTAAAGAACTTTCTTATTTTTCTCTAAAGTTTTCATCATATGGAAAATTAAGTAATGACAATCAGTTTCGATGACGTCGTGATGGCAGGCGTGTCACAGGTGGTTCTGATCTTGTGCCAACGCTTGAACCTTAGTCAGCAGACAACTGAAGTCTGGGGCAGAGCGGGTCGAGACCTTTGCCCCAGGTTATTCGTAGCAGTCCCTGAGGTCTTCAGCCAGTCATTTTGGCAAGTAGCTGTTTCACCTTCTTTTACGAAGACATTCGCAACACATGTCCAAACCATCAGAGTTGAATCTGCATAGGCAGTAACTGTACACCAAAGGCTCACTCGAATATCTGCACTCCGGACCACGTCGAGCGATTTATCTGAGAAAGCCCATTTCAGCTGCTGTACCAGGGATCGAGATTTTTCAGTCACGGCCCACAATTCATGACCATTGGTGAGCATCTGATTGAAGATGCACTTGAATACAGACAGCTTAGTATTCAGGATCAGCTCTGCTTGACTAACTAAGGAAGTAATGTTTAGCTGAAATATATCGATACCAGACTGAAAAGCCGAAAGCGTAGTGTAAAAAAATTCATTTCTTACTTAACACTGATACTGCGATGGTATAAGACAAATGAAAATCTCACACTAGGGAGTATCGCAATAGAGCACCGCCCCTTTGCTTCTAGTAGCCTAGGAGGGGGGGGGGCATTTAAGGAGGCTACGGTTCCATGGTATTTAAGCGCCTGCAGTACACAGGACGCAAGACCGCGTCTCTTAATTGGGCTGAACAAATGAATTTTTCAATTCAAACACTATGATCCGCAGGCGAAAACAAATCGAAAACGTCACTCCGATGCTCTGGGCAAGACTCCATGAGTTGATTTATCGATAACTCCACCGAGACATCAGATTTAAAATATATAGATACCGGACTGAAATGGCGAAAACGTAGTGTAAAGAAAGAAAAATTCATTTCTTACTTTACACCGATACTACAATGGTCCACTGCGCACTGCAGGCGCTTAAACACCACAGGGACATGACCTGCTTAAACGATACTCCTACGATACTAGAAGAAAAGGAGTTGTGCAATACCGCTGCAATTCCTAGTGTTAGATTTTCATGTCTTACACAACCGCAGCATCGGCGTAAAGTAAGAAATGAATTTTTCTTTACACTGCACGCTTTCGCCGTTTCAATCCGATATCGGCATATTGTAAGTATGATGTATCGACGGCGGTATCGAAAACTCTCACTGATTCTACCCAGAACAACGGGGTTGTTTTCGGAAGTAAGATTCATATAAAACGTTTCGACATTACTGGTGTTACAAATCAATTTCACATACGCTGTTTTACGGTTTGTAATAATATATGCAAATTTACCTGAATAAGTAATGTTTAATATACAGGGTTAATAATATGCTTCGTTTAACATTCTTCCTTAAGAAATTTATAATTGCAGAGTTCGGTCTATAAAAACTGTAGCCACATCATTTTACCATTCAAATAATTATATGAGTTAAAGATTAAACATTTATCAATATTGGTAGTTTTACGATAAAATTTTCAGCAGGGCTAATTATTAACAGATCAATGAAAGGTAGATTTGAATTATTTTTTCTTTCAATGGTTAACTCGACATTTTCAAGGAAGAGGCTACTTGAGAAGAGTTGGTGCTTTATCTTCAGATGAAAAAAATACTGTGAACATATCTTTTGAACACCTCCGGAAACAGGTCGAAACTGGTAATTCAGGCAACATTTTCAGTGTTACACGGAAATTCACTAGGGTGTAGAAAATGGTTTGCCCATGGATGCAGTTTGGTTTGTCAGAAGATCTCGTCATCGAGGAGAAAATAATTCATCCCAGTCCTTCATAAAATTAACTTTATGCAGAATTACATGAAAGATCACCGGTCATTCTGGGGTGCCAGTGATGACTGGTGATGTGAAAAGAGAACGAACCTCTTGAACAGAGGCGGCTTAATCAGGGCTGTGGCTGAATGCTGTGATTTAAAGCGAGTTCGCTTGCTTCCTAGAGGTTACAAACGAACTTCATGATGGACATGAGATGTTCAACAGGCTGTCACCACGAAGAAAGTCACATTGAAGAGGTGACTTGAAAGCAACAAACCATTAACTCGAATGCAATACGAAGAACGCGCAAAGCAGCAGCGAAAGCTGATTCTTGGAAAAAGTTCTGCCAGGTGCTAGAGTTAAATTTCAAAGTGGCTCCTGAGGACAACAGGCGGACATCCAGTTATCAATTAGATCCAACTCGGCAACGGGCGTCCACTCTGTCGCTCATCAATATGCTGGAACGACCCAATGACGAAGCTGTATGGTCAGTGGTGGAAGCAAAGGTCACAACACCGATAACAACGGCGGAATGTCGACTTGGATCTGTTACACGGCAGTTGACGAAAATAAGTCGGATTGGACGAATACAGATAATCTAAATTCCGTATTTTGCATTGCGTTATCTGCGCCAGGACTTAATTCTGTTTCCGTACAGTACGAGTCCTGATGATGGATGACGGGCAGAACAGACACTTGTCGATGTATCGTCTTCGTACTTATAATCCCTGCGTCCAAAGTAGTTCTGTCTAGATTAATGTTTCATGTTTCACTTCATTATATATCTTGCATCTCACGATATTTCATATTTATCTTACATTTAGCTCATACATTATTTCACATTTTCTCATACATTGCTAATCTTGTACACTTAAGAAGATTTTCCGACTCACGGCTGAGAGCACAAAACAAGGCAGATGTTAGTACTTTGCTACCAACGCGTTTCGCCACACCGATACTTCCGTAGCATCGCCAAGGCACAAATGATATGCAGGCAGCAAGTCCCCTTAAATATGAAAGATTCCTCGAGTTAAAGAGAATAGCAGACTACAACAGAATTCAACCAAAATGTTGATAACTATAAGACTTAAGAATTTAACCTCAACTACTAATTAGGTGATTCAAGACTTTTTATTAATGATGATGATATCGAGATTGTGATCCATGATGAATTAAAGAAGACATTAATCAAATTCGCAGAAAAAAAGCAGCAGGCAAACTGAAGCGCATTTTTACCCCATCGCCATCAAAGGCGGCGCCGAGGTCGTGGGACCCTTTACGCATCAGATCGACCAACGAAGCGGCGTAGGTAAGATTCGGATCCGGATGGAAGCCACCAAAATCTGCTAGCGGATTGCAATGCAGCAGGTCTTCAGTTCTGGCACCCAGCTTCTCCCCGATGATACGCATGACATATGGGCCAGTCGCTAAAACGGAAATAATAATTTCACATAATCAGCTATGCGCATTACACACAGTAAAGTGTTCAGCACAAGTTTATTAACAGTTTTGCGATCAGACAAATCGTGTGACCTACCTCCATGCATGGAATCGATCAGGACGCGGAACGAGGTTCCGGTTGTTTGGCCAGAAATCAGATTTCGGATGGATTCGAAATCGAAAATCTGCTCCATCAACTCGCAGTAGTCCTTCACCGAATCGATGACGTCAATGACGAACTTCCCGACGCCTTCTGTACTACAGAAACCGGTCACAAAAAATCAACATAAACAACTTTGTTCAGCCTCAGCTGTGTACCAATGTCGAACTCCTGCTCCCCGAGTGACGATAGATCGACTTTCAACTCCGGGCAGATGTGGTACTTCTTAATTTCCTTTGTCAGCTCGAATATCTTCTCGGTAATCATTTCCGGAGCCGGACCACCGTTGGCGATGTTAAACTTGATGCCGAAGTCGCCGTTTGGACCGCCAGGGTTGTGGCTAGCCGTCAGTATTATTCCGCCGTCGGTTTTGTACTTCCGAATAATACACGACACCGCCGGGGTGCTAAAAAAACCATTCTGTCCAACGATCAGCTTATGCACCTGAAACGAACGATAAATAGCTAGAATGCAAAATAAACAATCAATAGACTAAAAACCAAAAACAATTTAGCTGGTTCGTTGTGTTCGAAATTCTGAACAGAGAATTCAAAACCGTAAATGAAGACGGTGCTTTGACGCAATGAAGGGTGTTTTGACTCAGCGAGCTGTTAGTCATTTTCGAACACCACTGAATACTTCATCGTTTGTTACTTTAATAACAATTTAATGAGAAAACTGATCAGTTCACTTGTGAAAAAGTAGGTGGAGATTTCACTTTCTGGACATAATCACTTTGCCTAAAGATTATAATAATTTCATTTTTCAGCAAATCATATAACCAAGTATAATATATAACCAGTATATCATATATCAGGTACGCATACTCCAAATCACACTTTTTGATGCTCTGGCGACTAATATTACTTTCAATATGACGAGGGGCTCATCGTTAATGCTACTACAGAAGGAATAAAAACCAGATAAACAACGAAAACTGGCAACAGGAACTTGCACTAAAGGTATCATGTCGAAACATGAATAAAAAACTATCGACCGTTCCAGTTCAAAAAACATATTAATGCAAATCAATCACTCAGGCAGTCAATCAAATTTATTTTAGTGACTCCCAAGTCACACGAGAGGTTACCAAAACCCTGCTTATAAGAACGAGCAATTATGAGTAATTAATAAACAATTAAACTAGCATTGAAAGTGGATTCATGTCAGGCTGACCAGAGTGTGATTAAAACGATAATTCTTCTTTCCTGGAATCGATCGGACATCAGGCAGGCAACGAAAAAACTGACCTTTTATATGTTTCAAACCCGCACCAGCGATCCTGTGCAAGGATCCTATCACTTGGCTCCTTCGAAAAGCATTGTTAGAAGCACTGGTACAGAGGGTGACTTGGGTCAGTTAGAATAGAATTTTTCAGAGCAACTATTGCCTTTATCAAACATCTGGTTAGAATGGACACAAACTTGTCAACGCCGCTATTACAGGGTCAGTCAAGTCAACAGTTTCAAAAGTCTCCGGGTGTGAGCAAGTTGTTTTCTCCAAACACTGCTGAAGTACACCGTTGCAGCGTTGAGGAATGGCGGTAGAATGCAGGATTTAGTGGCCTTTCAGCCTTCTGAACCTATGCACAACCTCCTCCACCTGCCCAACATCGAAATCGATGGCGGTACTTTGACAACCACTGCATTCACCTGTTGTTTCCAATTAAATCTCCCATCCACAATCAACCCCAGGTATTTTACCATTGAGATTTTCTCAAACAAGATGCTGCGAAACAACGCATTTGATCAAGCCAGTTTAGTACAGGCTTCGCTTACTGGCCTTGCGAGATAGAAATTACAGTGCTGCAGATTTCTTTAGATTAAGTGTTAGGACACAGTCTCCACATCTTCAACCAGTCCCAACTTCTTGTGAATAGAGAAGAAATGCAATAATTCAAATCTGGACTGTATTGAAGCCAGTAGAGCAGTATCGTCCACGTGCTTCACCCATATAGTGGCAGGATCAATGAAGTCATGAATCACATTTAAGTATGAATTAATTATACTGAACAGGGTACATTTCTTCATGTGGAAGATGATGGTGTGCTTTTGAGATGTCATAAACGGGCGAACAATACAAGGGTTTTACACGCATACACAAATTTCTCTTCGGAACAAGATTCAACCTCTTTTAGAATTAAAATTACAAGTTACAGTTACTGGTCCTGTTTTCTCAATGCATAGCGTAGCGTAACAATTTAAAAAGAACTATGTAATTTTCTCTGATCACAGGCGCGTTTCGATTCCTCACACCAGCGTCTTCATTAAAGTTATATTATACAAACAAAATGGCATTAAATCAAGAACTGAGATTTGAGTGACAATGGCGTTCTTTCGAACATGCTAACATGGCATTTCAACTGTCATTCAAACTAAACCAAATCATACATGCGTTACACACTCAGCCTTTATTAGCCAACATATGCAACGATTTTTTCATTAAGTGCCTGATGTCTGTTCTCTCCTTATCAACGGAAATGACATTCGTCGAGATAAACGGGTGTTTCAAACACAAAGCGTGAGAGTCGATGTCATAGTACTGCGTCATTCCATTCCTCAGAGCTGCTAAATGTTCTGCAAATCTTTTATCCAACCTTCTTACAGTTTTCATGACGTAGATCTTGTCGCAATCGCTGCAACTTATCTTATAAATGACGTTCATCTTTTTCGATCTTTACCGTTCGTGAAGTTTTTCTGTGATCCCCATAAACTGCTCTTTTTTTAGTAAATTCGAAAACCTTCATTCTACAGATACAGTTCGATTTTATTAGAGTTTAAGAATAACTGGGGTGACGACAGTGGGGTTTCTCTTATTGCCTGGCTTATGTTTAACGTTAAGAGTTTCAATTCAGCAGATGGTGTGTTTGTATATCTTTTTTTATTATAGCCGTTTTATAATAAGAAATTTTTCAGATATTCACTTTCTACTTGGTAAACAGAATCATTTCTGCAAACTTTACGAGGCCTGAGTCTCAGGTGCCTTAAACATTTCTGTAAATTAATTTAGGGAACCATTTTGCGTGTAAGTTCATTTAGAACCTTTAAATTTTCGATAACTTAAAAAACCAAACCTTCCTTTCACCAACATTTTCAGAAAGCTGATATGGCCTCTACATTACACGTTACAACTGATCGTTCTAGACTTGTCAAACGTCGTTAAGAAATTTTTTAGCTTTTGTGTACCGTCAGGGAAAACATCAGCCTTCAATACAGCAAAAATGCTCCTTACAAACTTCACAGCTGCAAACATTTAAATTAGTTTATTGAACTGGGGTAGTCATATTCATATTTTATTCATAATTCATCAAATGATTAACATTCCTGTTACCCCATTGGCCGCTGCTATCTGAATGATCAACTGAACGACGTGATCGCACAAATAACGACCGTCACCGCCAACCACCAACGTAGCACCCTTCTTTTTTCCTCCCAAACCGGCGTCGATCGAGCATTGAATAAAGTTTTCCGTATAATTTGGCGTTTGGAACGTGGGGACCTAAAAGCTGAAGATCATGAGTCAAATTTTCTCAAAGCTGAAGCAAGGAATAAAACAGGAACTACAGAATAAAATTAAAACTACTAAAACTTATCCTCTGATAATGGCTGAGGTCAATTCGGCTGAAACTTTGGAGTACAGTCAAATACAGATCGTTTGTTTCGTACGGTCATTTATTTACTCGGGGGCCGACAGATAAAAGGTTACCAAACTTGACTCACTCTGATAAAGTGGAAAAGCCGAAAAACAACAGACGTTACAGCAAACAGTCAACACCTGATTTGATGAAAACTATGAGAAGAAACAATGATAATACCTGAAAAAGAAGATTACGTCAAACATTTGTGGGGGAACGTAAAAAACTTGTGAATAAAAATAAGATATCGATATCCCTTCCTTTCAATCACAGGCATCATCCGTACTACTCTGCTTCATGGAAATTATGGAGTAGGCTGGTCCTCATTCCGACGCCACCAACGACAGGCATCAGATATGATGATCGCAAACGCTAGCAGTAATGGTCATTTTTGGATGTGATCAAAATTCGACGTACTGCTGCTTATTCATGTTCCCTAAAACTACAATATATCACCATATGACTAGACTACTGAATGACAAAGTTTGGATTTGAAATCAAAATTTCTCAATTGAGAGTTCAGCACTGAACAGATCCCGACATTAACAGGAAAGAACTTCAGTTCAACGGGTGCAGACAGAAGATCAGTCAAGAGGCATCATAAGAAGACAGAGGTTGTGTTGTCCTAAATATCCATATCACCATCCGTACCCAAACAACCAAAGTCGAATAGTATTTCTTGCCCTATGTCACTAGACGACGTGGAATTTACAATCATGTTGGTCAGAACATTTCTTGTCGTACACGTCATAATTTTTATCCGTAATTTTATTCAGCTCCCGTCAGAACTCGATCCCGTTCACAAAATACACAAAAGCATACGTAAACACCGATACATGCAAGCAAGTGTATGATTACCGGTTTCCGCAGGCCGCTGGTGCCTGGTTTCTGGCCTTCGAACACGGTTGTTTTAACCGTTTCTACTTTGTGAGGCATCTTGGAGCGTAGAGGTCAATGGCTAGAAGGCATATGAGTATATTACTGTTTGAGAGGGAGATAAAAAAGCGCGCATGTAAACTACGCAAATTTACTCAATAACTACAAATCGATGTTGGGAATAAACCCCTCTATCAGGATGTCGCGCCTGGACAAATATTGACGAAATCTACTACTTCGTACAAATAGGTAATCAAGCAATATAAGAAATCCATTTCTTGGACAGGATTTTGCTTCTGGCATGGGATCAAATGTAATATCGGACAATTATCCTTCTTTGATAAACTTTAAGGGATAGAGTAAGGACTGGACACAAATAATTCTATCGAGCCTCGCCCTGCCACGCATCTACTGACGTTACGTACTGCTAACCATGGATAAATCAGCAAAACAGTTAGAGACATGGAGATAAAGCGAAAATGTCGCCATATAACCACGGTTCCACGGGTCACAAGCTGTAATAATGCTTTCCGTTGCGGCATGATGACCGTTTTCCATGTACCAGAGACCAACAAGCTTCTAAGAGGGCTGCAACCGGCCTTTAGGCTGCGCATGTTGGCAAATCTGTTTTTTCTATACTTCAGATTCTATGCCTGCCATTATTTACTTCTTTAACTGCAACGATGGAGATCGTCATGCTTGGATAACATGGGAGGTCAAAAACAGAACACGAGAACATATGACATATACAAAGACGGTAAATGAGAAAGGTTCAGAGACTGCGGACCACAGCATCACGAAGAACCCCGTCGTCATTTAGGATAACTGTATCAAAGAAGCTGAAAGGGAAGCGAACCTAACCAAAAGGAGTACATAAGAAGCAACAGTCGCGGAACCAATCCATAGCAAAATAAAGTCAGAGACATCATGGGTTGACAGAGATGATCGAAGTCTAAAGCGCAATATGCCATGATAACATCTGATTTCTGTTAGAATCTATATATCGATAATTTAGCTGACCATCTGCTTTGTAACTTCTGTTGTTAGAATGCACGGCCGATATCCAGGAGAGTATCCAACAGATTTAGAATATGAATGATGTCCGCTGCTGAATGACTGAGTAAAGGGCCTTATATCTGAGAGTAAGAACTGCGGTTAACAGGCAGATTATCATATTGACTTGGCTACCACTGCTGCACTACAACAGACTCCAACATTCCTTGCTTTTTTATCGTGTTGATCCAGCATTTGACAAAGAAACAAATTTTTCAACTTGTAAACATATACCGTTTCACTGAAAACAAAGCAGTAAGGCATCTAGAGTATGCGGTTTACAGCATCAGGCTTTGCGTACCTTACCATTGATTCACTAACTCGACAAACAACCTCGATGCGGATCTTGCTCCAGGGACATCGACAACAATACGTTCTGATTTGGCACCATGCACTTAATAACATGGGTAACGTTCCGACCGAATGGTTTTATAGGCGCATGGTTAAGACTGCCGCTAAAACTACCCATGCTTATATTGCCAAATTATAGCCACAAAATACTTGCTTCCTAGATCAGAGGAACAGAACAATCAAATTACCACCTGACAGCAAAACAGAAAATTCTCGATTTTCGTTTCAATAAGATATTCATGAGTCTTAGCAGAAAACCAGTGCATCATCCACCATGAAACAAATTCAAACTCTGGAGAACACTGAATAATTCAGCAGGCACCTACAATCAGATGAAGTAACATTAATTTTCTTAATTTGCGCTTACACCTTTTGCTGAGTTCTAATCAGCTGTCTGGTGAGTCAAGGGGAACTCTAGCAGCGAGTCAAGCGCACGCATCAGACAACATGACGGTATGTTTTCCACGCTTTGGCATGACCAAAGAAAAACCTGCGTTTGCGTTTTGTAATTCGCAGGTCATCGACCGCTAATTGTTTTTCAGCTGCTTTCACAGAAGTAGAGTTGAGCGCATCCAGAGAATCAGTTGTCAATAAGAGAAAACTTACATGGGGCATGGAATCTGAAGCCGGCATCGACAAAGAGCAAAGCAAACTAACTCATTGCGCCACTGCTTCCCGCCTCCCTCTCCACCTCGATTTAGTCTAAGGCACACAGATTAAAGTATTTTAGTACTAAAGGATTTACAAAAACAAAACAACTCCAGAAATTATCGGTTAACTTGACCAGAAGAAAGATATCGTGCGCCCAAACTAACTGCGGACAGCACGTATCTCTCACAGTGACTGTATTCGACTAGGGTTTGTCAAGTTATATCGCGAGATATATATCGTTATATCGAGTCACAAAGAATAAATCAAAATAAGGCAGTATTTCTCGAAGGAATGAATCAGTCAGCGTCGTTCTTTATTAAGAAAGCGCATGATTTATTATTTTACGTTATATCCTCCTCTTAGGTACAACATCGGATCAAGTTAAGCATCAAACTCCCATATTTATTGTGGAGTTTTTGACAACATTTGCGTCTTCTCAGTGTCAGTGCAGGGGCTAACTCTTGTCATGATAATGTAGCAGCATGCTGAGTTGCGTCTGTCATAATTAATGTACGTCTCATAAGCTGCTTGGAGATTTTCAGGTGAGGATAAGATGTATCGCTGTCCGATAGTGCAAAACTGTTTCAGCGAGATAGTAGGCTTCAATGACCGTTCATACTTTTGAATCATGGAAGCGGATTAGCCAAGCATTATATTCAGCGTTTTCAATCCTGCATATGATTAAGTTTTGGTAGGAGATAAACCGGGTCTGGAGCAGAGCTTTTTGCGACACTTCTCCCAGATCATTCTTGGCCGCCACTGTTGGTCAACCGGTCAATTTGTCAAGTTTTAGCTGCTTCGCCCTTCTTTCAGGAAGCATTCGCGAAAAAAGTTGTTGTGAGTCACAAATTACGAAGTCGACAATACGAGCAAAGTCGTTCTGCTCAAGGCACGTATTGGCTCTTTTCCAGATTTCGCCTCGGAAATACCAACCCTTAAGTGGGTCAAGGCTAAATGCAACTACAGGGGCGCTCGCACACGGCAGCATGGTTGCACAACTAGTCCCTTCTGGAATACAACCCATGACTTTTTAGAGTATCGGTATATCATTGCGATGTAGCCTTCACAAGCAGTTCAATGCTCCGTATAAAATCAGCACCGTATATCTCTTCCAAAAATAAACAGAGCCTGTAAAGCGTGTCATTGAGCTAAATTTTTAATAATAAATTGAAGACTTTTTAGAGCATGAAGATTTATCAGATAGTTGTCACCTGAAAAAGATTATTTAGTTCACTAGACATCGAAAAACGTGATTCAACTCTCCAGGAGCTGCGAATTCATACTTTCCAGAATTCCATTCACTGATAACACGACAGTAAGAAGCTGACTTGAAACATCTATTAGATAACGATAGAACTAATTCAACTAGCGATTGATCAGTAATGGCTGGATCAAACGATATAACAAAAATTTTCACATGAAACATGGACCGCAAGTTTTCCATGATCAATAACCACACAACAGATTTAATGAGCAACCCGCAAATACCCCTTGAATAAGGAAAATATTTTCCGTTCGAACGAATGCTGCATCACAGACTTAGTCAACGTGCGTTATTCACAATGTCAGAAATCATGAAAATTCGCGTGCACGTGCAAGCTAGAGCTAAGTCAAAGGGCCTTCAGTTTTATGTAGTAATAGCAGTATGCTAATACCTAGCAACCATGTGCGGTTACTTACTAAGTACTTACAAAGATCCGGTAACTGTTAGGCTAAATGATAATAATCGCTCATGTATATAGCTTGACTTTTATTACAGGTCTCAATTCAAGCCACAATCGTTAAAAATATCTCGGACTTGTAATTGACCACTTACAAACTGCAGAAATGGCAGTCGATAAAGAGTTGGACTGTCGGCGGTTCAGTCATTTTCCTTGACCGAAATGATCATAATCAGCAGCCCATATTTGCAGAATAGGTTTTTTCAGATGCGTCTGTTGCGCTTAACGCAAGGCTGCGCCGGTGAAACAGAAATCTGCGCCAACGGAGGAAACACAGCCATAATCTCACGTAGTAGTCGGCAGACGCGAAACAACTGTGTATTACGCTTCTGAATTGACATGCGTAGCAGCAAAATCTTGTCGGAATTTCAGACCGCTGCGAGGTTCGATTCGATGGAACGTCGAAAAAAATTTGAATTTGATTCTGATAAAAACAAGCACATACTTTGATCGAGGCAAAAAAGGAACCATATGTGAGAGTTAAGTGATAAGAACCAAACGAAGATTGCATCATGGCACCGCAGCCAACAAGCAGTTTTTGTTGATCACCGTTGGTTCTGCAAAAATATGATCTGTCCCTCTGAAGTAAACGCTTACTTGGATTTTTCATGCGTTCAGTAATCATTCATGCAGTATTTCGCCGTTTGCCCACGATAGTTTTGTCCGCAATAATTTGCTGCTGACTCGACTCGGAGACAAATTCTATCTGACCCGACGTACCAACTGAAACAAAATCGACAATCCGATGTCTTGGCAACAATCTGCACGTACTGCGTCAGATTGATGATGCACTTTTCGCTTGCTCAGCTGGATGCAGTTTTTATTGCGCTTAGCCGCCGCCAACAACAGACTAACTTAGTTCGCGAAATGAAGTTCTTGTTTCAGCCGAAGATTACTTTAATCACCTATCTAATCATAATTAAAATTGAGTGGAAAATTTTGCCATCGTGCAGTGATGAAAGGCTCCTTTTCAATGAAAACGCTTCAGTTTTCAGAAAATTACCGGTGTGCTAGTGCAAGTAATATTAGGATAGTCCAGGATCCGTTCAACAATATATATGGACGGTATTTTTTGCTCATTCCTACTGACTGTCAGTCATTTTCAATGACATGTTGTTCTTTCCCGTCCTAGAACAAGCACGTCAGAGAGTATCTCCAACGTTCCTGATCTTGTCACAGCACTTTAATTTCGGCAGAAAATAACACGAGTCTGAGGCAGTGTCCTTCGATACATTTCCCCGACTTTATTCCTAGCCGTATCTTGGAGTCTTTGGCCGGTCAGTT